AGTATGACTTCGGGCCAGTGCGTTCTACTAAGATGCCCTGACAACAAGACTGAATTGCGATAACGAGGTCGACCCAGGCATAAATAAAGTTGGATACTGGTATAAATGAAGGTATTGGTGTACTTACTTAGCTGCAAAGTCTCATCCATTCTGCTAATGAGCCATTTAATAGTGAATACATGACTTATCCTTCCTTCCATGAAGTTGTACATCACCATTTCGTAATATAATTATTGGGCTTGACATTTTTCTAGAAACTTTGTCTCCATCCAGTTACGTTAAATAATCTCCTTTGCTCAATTACCCTTTTCCCAGGCTGTGCAAGTGAATACCTATGAGCCACCACCCACCCGTGAGACATTAGGTTGCCCTAACTTCAGTTATCCCCGACAGGCGGTTAACAACTTGAATCTGCGTAACCCTTACGGATACCAGACCAACGGTCGGATGGGCTTGGAGCATCTGCCTTTCTTCCTCGACTATGAGCACATGACACCGCTCGATGATGCCACCAAACCGACTCTTGGGGGAGCTGTATTTGGGCATTACGACGAAGCTCCAAATGCTGCAATACCCATGGCTACCTATCCGTCTTTTCTGCCACCGCTTGATCTTAATGTAGCACAACAACTTCAATTTTCAAATGCTCTTCTTGCCGCATCCTCATCCAATACAACAGGTCCCCCTGGCCATTCACAGTCTCTCAGTCTCTTGCGAGGTGCTGGGCGGCCACAGACTATACAAACACATGGGCTGGAATTAGTTGATGAACGTTTTCTGGTACCTCGGGAAAGGGGTATTCCATTGCCCCAGAACGGCGGCTTCCGCTTACCACAGGGCTCCGGCGGGATCTCCGGTCTTCACTTGGGTCTTCCTACCGGTCAGGTACCGGAATTTACCCAGACTGAATCAGATATCATGAGATTGCCTTCACATAAGCAACAGTTACACCAATCACTGCAACATCAGCCTTCAATGGTAATAAGTCGGAACTTCGGAAAGTCACGTGGAACTCAAGGTCCTTCTACTGTCAAAGGCCATGGAGAAGGTCCAGGCATAAACGCCCATCTCACAGAGCATAAAGAACATCGAATGCGACCAACTGAATTTGAGAGAGTTGCCGG